CCCCCCCCCCCCCCCCCCCCAATTTATCTTGTTTTGACCTCCATTAAAAAATATACTTTTTATATTTGGAATAATATAAATAATACTATCTTACCATTTACTACCACATCAAGCGTTAATGGGCGGTCAAACCCCCCTGTAATTCGTACCCTACAATAAAAGTAATGTTTAATTATATACATGGGGCTTAAAGGGGACTTATAATGCCCCTTTTTACAACATATAAGTCTCTGGTGTCCCTAGGGTGTGTATGTGACAATTCAGCTCAAAATATCACACAGATACTTTTTATAACTCTTTGAAAGTGCCCCATTAAGGCTTTGATTTTAATTTTGTTGACTGTCGCTTTAAATTCAAATGAGACTGTGCTCTTTTCAAAAGAGGGCGGAGCTAAAATTGCTTGTGTGTTAGTATAGTGGCAGGTATCTATGCTAATGAGGGAGAGATCGTCACTAATGGGCAGGGCTTTCTCTTGATGACACGTACAAAGGGAGAATGTCAATCAAAGTATTTCTGCAGACTGTTTTAAAGAAGTGTGATTATAAAAATAAAATTAATGCATTTTTGCCATTAGAAGCTGGTTATATTTACAGACTGTTGCCACACAACTGTGTTTAAACTCCTTATAAAACTGAGTTTTGCTTAATAGTTGCCGTTTATATTAAATGTTACCATCAGTGTATAGTGTGTGATGAAGCTCTTTCTGAATGTAAAAGGTCTGTAAAATATTAAAGTTCAAAGTGCATGACAAATAAGCTCATTGTTCAAAAAAAAAGAAGAAAAAAAAAGGAATCAATTCCAAAAATGCTGAAACAGTCAGGAATTCCTATTTCATGAGATATTTCATATGAGATCTATGTTAATCCTATGTAGACTGATCGATTTTTACCATTGAAAGCTGGAGCTGGTTTTTGACTTTCGACTTTATTTCCAGAAAAAATCATTTAATGTGCAGACAGAGTCAGAAAATTTTATGTAATATTTTTTGCACATGTGAAAAAATAAATTTGCCCTCACATTGTGTCAGATCACATATACACATTGCCTCTGAAACGTTCATCTATCACAAAAAAAATGTATATGTTTTTTTTTTTTTTTTGCAGACCTGTAGAAAGCATTTTAAAAGGTGTTTTGACAAAATCACAGCCACCGCACAAGTGAAAAACTAAATCTACAATAGCACATGCATTTGATACATTTGGTTTTGCTTGCATCTTAAATTATCCCACATACCCAGACAAGTTGATCAACTAGTTCTTCCAACATGCAACCTAACATTAATATAATACAGTTATCATACTCCTTACAATGTAATGTTTACAACTGTCCAGGGAAGGAAGTATCGTGAGGTATTGGTTAATAAATGTGGGGGTCAGATTGGTCAGAAGTAGGGTTGTTTAGAAAGAACAAATCTTCAAATAAATTGAATCATTAAAGGCTCTTTAAGAAAGTGTGATTTTAAAATGTATAATATAAGAATACTAAACTGTGTTTGACCTTGGATCCATGTCAAACTTATTGTAGAAGGCCAGAAAGAGTAGGCTTTTAAATAAAAAAGGGTCACTTTTAAATAAAACACCCTACATAACATAACTTACAACTACTAACTTAATATGTATGTAAAAAATGCAGTCAGGGTCCGATTTCCCCCACAAGTCCAAAGACATGCGCTATAGGTGAATTGGGTAAGCTAAATTGTCCATAGTGTATGTGCGTGAAGGAGTGCGTGTATGGGTGTTTCCCAGTGAAGGGCATCTGCTGTGTAAAACATAGGCTGGATAAGTTGCCGATTCATTCCGCTGTGGCAAACCCCAGATTAATAAAGGGACTAAGCTGAAAACACAATGAATGAATGAAGATACAGTCAGTGTTTCTGCTCTTCACAGGATGTCGAGAGGGCACTTATGGCCCCTACTGTAAGAAGAGGTGTAGCTGTGCCAACGGAGGCCGATGCGACTTCAGAAACGGCTCCTGCATCTGTCAGCCAGGATATTTTGGACCCAACTGCAGCATCAGTAAGAACCTAATACTCAGTCAATCAGACTGACATCTTTAGCTGTTTTATAGCATCTTGCCTCTTTTTTAAGCAGGTATAACTTGCTCATCTTTCAAACTGATGCATATTTAATGTGTTCTGTTGCATTCTGCATTGTTTTATTTACTCTTTAACAGTTATCTTACCGCCTGGTTGATTTTTTTTTGTACATAGGTTATCATTAAAACTCCAAAACTTAAAATTAGAATGGTGTCAGGAGCACAATTTAATTTAAGGTATATGTTTAATAGCATCTATGTTTTATTCTCAGGTTGTCCCTCAGGTCACTACGGGAGAGACTGTGCTCAGGTGTGTTCATGTGGGGAGAAAGGACAGTGCCACCCAGAGACAGGGAGGTGTAACTGCGCCCCTGGTACAACAGGACTGTCCTGTGAACAAAGTATGTATCTTTGTGGACAGCTGTGTTATTATAGGACTATTTATGGGTCAAAACAAATCAATAAAAGTGTAACGCAGCTTACATTTTTTCTTTTATATTTCAATTTTTACATGGACAGAATGCATCCTGTTTAATTTGCTATATTTCACTGTGCAAACAATAATACTCATCATGCATTCTTACAATTATTGATAGATAAATCCTATTAAAATGTCATTTAGAAGTTGTAGTTGTAACAAAAAGTCTCGTCATTAATTTCGGTCAGACTGAGAGGCTGTATCAGAGACTACAGAAAGACTGCATCAGAGACGTTTCAATCCTGATTTTGTCCAGATTATTCCACTATTACTGTTTTTATTATTATTGACCTTTCTGTTGGGTGGATCTCAAGCAGGTCGCACACCAGAAGCGCCGCTCGACGCCGCGACACGGCGCATACATGACAGTTTAAGGTATCACACACCAGACGCGCACATTCGAATGATATTTAACATGAAACTAATCAGATGGCGCTCTGTGGCGCGGCTGAAAAACGAACTGCGTCCTGAGCCGTCGCCGGGCGCCGCCGACAGCCGCCGACTTGCGGCGCCGGTGTGTGTATCCTGATAGAAACCTATGTTTAGAATTCTAAAATGCATGGCGCGGCGCTTCTGGTGTGCGACCTGCTTCAGGCTTTTTCTATAGTTCTAAATCTAAATTGTTCAATAAATAAATAATAATAATAATAAAAGTCTCGTCATGCATATTAAGAACAAGAATAATTTCATGACATCTTAAATATATTTTAAGGTACACTGTGAAGCCCCAAAATACTTAATTGTCATTTTAAATGTTTATGCTTCACCACTTATCCTTACTAAACTATGAGGTTTTCAGCAATCCATTTAAAATAATATATAATATGTTTAAAATCAAATTATGTATTTTATTAAAGTCAGAATAACTTTCAAAAACTATGTTAAACTGAATGGTGAAGGAGCGTTATTTTACCTATATTTTAATACTTGAAACTTATTAGATTTTTTTTTTTTTACAATAAATATTTGAAACATTAGACACTTTACTTGCACTGAACATTTGATGCACTGATTACTGCTGCTTGTTCAAACAACACAATTCTTGTCATTTCTTTGGCCAATTTATTTGTTTTATGTTTAGTCCACTTGAATTTGTAAACCATTAGGTTAACTTAAGCGTTTTGTATCTAACTACCTTCATAGGGGATTTGTAGTTCCCAGTATGTTTTGCGTGGGATTGAATTAAGAGAGGGAAATGTTGACAATAAAAGTAATTTTAGCTGTTTAAAGTTGATAGACTTTTTAGACTTGAAAATTTAGTTGAAGATTTTCATGTAATGCTTTAAGTTTTGAGGTTACCACCTTGCAGAATCACCAATGCGTTGAATGTTGGCTGCTTAATTAACAAAAATACAGTGTGTTGCTTTGCTCAGTGAGCAATAACTGTCCTAAAATTAGTTCTGGGATCAGTCTCAATCAACTGTATATGCAAATCATTAAATATGCTCAAAAATGGCTTTTTAGTTCATTTAGGATAACTTCAAGAGACTTTGAAATGTACGACACATTATAGACATACATTACATGATATTATAAGAACTTTCAGTTGAACTTAAATAAAAATACAAATGTACTTTAATTTTTATTTCATAAAATCATGTTGAACAAGCTCACTTGCATTTAATTGTGTATATAGTTTTTTTAGTTGGTGCTAAACAAATCTATTGGATTGAAATCCTGCCCTCAATTAAACTTAAGAGTTCATCCAATGAGATTTTTTTTTTTTTTTTTTTTTTGAGTGTGCCTTTATTTGGATTGGTTGTTTATTTTTTTAAATATGTTTTTATGTTTAAAGTTTTATTTGAGTAATTTTGTGCTTCAACTCCTTTTAATTTATTTAGTTAACCATTTTCCATATTGTGTTAATTTTTTTGTTTTCGATTTTCAGCTTTAATGAAAACCTTTTAATTGTCTGAGTTAACAACAGCAGCCCAGGTAGCAAAGAATTCTGGCACAGCAGACATTCATCGGGCTCTGACATACATCACGTGGGCCAAACATATAGCCCAGGTTTGACAGAGGTGACACAGTCTTTAAGACAGAACGCAAGACATGCATGGGCCAGATGTCAAATGTAGTATTTGGCCCAGATGTTAAAAATTGATATGTGGGCCATGTAAGTTTGGCCCATCTTGACCCACATTTAAAATACATTTAAATTATGAGTAAAGAAATATTTTGATATACAAATATAACATCTTCAATTGCCTTCATTTTAATCCAGGAAACAATCAAGAATTATTAATCTATTGTTACCTGTATGTAAATAAATCAATAAATAAACAATAAAAAATAACTGAATTTAACCCTACATTACATATATCTTATTAACCAAATTGTTTTTTTACAAATTATATTATTAATAACCATTTCATTGCAGTTGTGACTTGGCATGGGCCGGTATAAGATTCTGACGATATGATAACCTTGGATAAAAATATCACGGTTGAGCGGTATTGTGATTCCTGCTCTAAGATATATTCTTTTTAAATGTCTGGGTAAAAAAACCAAAACTTTTCCCCTTTGAAAACAATATATTGTATTTTTTGGAAGATTTATGACATTTTGAAGCAGTAAACACGTCAGGCTATATAATTCAAATGAATCATTGACTTCTGCTGTCTTCATTTGTTTTTAAAACACAGATTTCTTTACATTTTAAATGGCATCTTTAGATTTTTTTTCTGCTGGAGATACTGTTGTCCTAAAAACAAACAAAAAAAATGTTAATAAAAAATCTTACACATACCTTAGGAAAAGTATTACAGAAGATTTTGGCAGTTTTAACTTAACTTAACTCTCAACTTTAACTTAACTTAACTCTCAACTTTCTTAACTTTCTCAAACTGCGGTATACCTTTGAAAACAGTTATCGTCCCATGCCTATTCGTGATACTTCAATTATGCCTTCCAGACATTGCCCAACATGGGGCATAGCTAGCCCAGTTCAGGCTGAACTATATGGGTTGTTAACTTGACTGAGACTAGACCCAGACATGGTCCATGTTTGGCCCTTCATGCCAGTCATGTACCGTACTTTACTGTGGGCCAAGCAAAAACTTTGAGTGGGCTCAGTGTGGGCCAGAGCTGGGCCAAAGAAATGTTGCTATGTGGGAATACAGAACAAAAATTCTTCAACTTATTTAAAATGAGTTGAAAAAACACATTTCTTAGTTTTTTTTTACAACTTAATTGTTTTATGTTGAATACACTTAAATTTGTTAAACAAGTTAACCTAATCTATTTGTGTTGGGACAGCATAAAGAATTGGTGTGGAACCCAGCAGTTTTTACAGTGTATTTGTCCTTGTTTCCTTGCTTATCTTGCCAACTTTTCCAACCTCTTAGCCATTAATTTCTCCTTTTTCCCCCTTGCCTTCACTCAGTCACGTTTCCCTCCCTCCAAAATCTCCAACATCTAGTTAGTATATAAAAGCATGAGTGTTATGATGACTTCATAAGCAAAACAACCCCAGAATATACCACATCTGCACTTGAAGGGTCTCCTTGCCCTCCTCCTGATTCTCTCCCAGGGCTTATTTACAATATTTAGCTAGCAAATTTCTCCAGTTTCCTGCATGAGGGAATTTGATCGTGTTTTCCAGAGCAACAGAAGCAAGAGATCAGATTCCTAATCTTCGCGTTTCATCACTCATCAGTGCAAATGAAACGGGACTTTCCAGGAGGGATTTTCTTAGTCGTCTCGGAGCATCTAACTGCTTACGTTCCCCGTGTTTAATGTTTACAGACGACTATAAGTAGCTGGTTCTCTGTGTTCCGTGTCGGCGGATCTGCTGGCGAGGAAACAAATAAATAAGCAAGCGAATCAAAGCGATTGGCGTATTGTTTTCCCAATCTAAATTACCCAAGGAAACATGATTGCTCTTTTGCTGCGCTGCCAAATCAGACCCGCTTCGCCATTGCACTAATGATCTGGAGCTTAAGTAAACCTGTGTGTGTGTGTTTGTGCACGTGTGTGTTGTGATGAAGCGATCGCATATGTGCCTGTCTCTTTAAATGCATTTTGAGGGATGAGAGGGCCTGGGCTAATTGTAGTAATTGAGAAATTCAGAGTTTATTTGAAAATAATGCCATCTGTGCTGTTGTTGTTACTGGAAGTTTCCGTCTGGAGCAGGATTATACGTAATAGATAAAAAGATGAGGGGTTTTGCTGAAGGGAATAAAGCGTGCTGATTGTTGGGTCAGTATATATGAACGCACATTCTAATGGAAAAAACAATACCGTATGGAGTTTTTGGAGGTGGAATAATTAGCAAAGAATAGATAAGCCGGACAAATTTTTGGTGTTTGGATGTTCATTCATTCACTAATTTCCCTAATGGCCCCTTAATTATCAGAGGTCACCACAGCGGAATAAAACGCCAATTTATCCAGCATGTTTTACGCAGCAAATACTCTTTCAGCTGCAACCCAGTACTGGGAAACACCCATACACTCTCGCATTCACACACATACACTACGACCAATTTTATTAAATCCACCTATATCGCACGTCTTTGGAATGTTGGGGAAACCGGAGCACAAAACCCACGCGAACACAGGGAGAACATGCAAACTCCACACAGAAATGCCAACTGACCCAGCTGGGACTCGAGTCAGTGGCCTTCTTGCTGGCAGTCGACAGTGCTAACCACTGAGCCACTGCGCTGCCAATGTTTGGATGTGAACGGTTATTTATATGATTATTATTGTAAGAAAGAAAGATGAGGATCATTTATGTGGCTGTTTAAATAAACCCATAATGCATTTAAAAGATGATAAATTTATGATATTTAAATGGTTTGAACAAATGCTAAAAAAATCTAAAAGTTTGGGTCAATAAGATGTTTTTTATTTAATTTGAAATTATTTCAATGTTTTTATTTTTTAGTTAGTAATTTTTAATCAATTACTAATTTTATTCCAGATAGAGCACATTAAATTAAGATTTTCTGTTTTGAAAGATATATATATATATATATATATATATATATATATATATATATATATATATATATATATATATATATATATATATATATATATATATATATATATATATATATATAT